AAAAAAAAAAAAAAAAAAAAAAAAAAAAAAAAAAAAAAAAAAAAAAAAAAAAAAAAAAGAATCCAAGCACATTGGGTCGCACACAATTTTTTCTCTTTGGCTTCACTATTATGTTCACGAGTACGAACTGAAATTCCAGGTGACGGGCGGCTCGAGCGGCATAGGCAAATGTGTGGCGATCCTCGCAGCCCAGGAAGGCGCCAACGTCATAATAATAGCCCGGAACTTGGAAAAACTGACGATGGCCCAATCGGAGATACTCGAGGCTTGCCGAGACAAGAAGACCCAACAGATCGAGGGTATATCTATGGACATCAGTCTCGACTACGGGCGCGTGCTCACAGCTATCGATGAACTGGAGAACAGGCTGGGACCCATTTACATGCTGGTCAACTGCGCGGGGACCGCCGTCTGCGGCAAGATCGAAGATACGACCTCGGATATGTTTAACCTGCTGCTTCAGCTGAACCTCGCAGGCAGCTACTACTGCACGAAAGCCGTGGTGCCGAAAATGAAACAGGCACGCGAGGGCAGGATCGTGCTCGTTGGCTCGCAAGCCTCTCTACTCGGTAATCCAAGCTACAATCTACAGCACTTGAATTTTTATATTTTTCAACTTTGGTGTAATTGTTAAATTTTTTTATTTCAGGAGTATTCGGATACACAGCTTATAGTGCCACCAAGTTTGCGATAAGAGGCTTGGCCGAGGCTCTGGCGATGGAGCTTACGCCTCACAACGTGTTCGTCACTCTGTCCTTGCCTCCGGATACCGATACCCCAGGCTTTGAAGTGGAAGAGGAAACCAAGCCTATGGAGACTAAGCTCATATCCAACGCCTGTGGTCTGATGCAGCCGGAAGACGTTGCCAAGAAATTATTCTACGACGCTTTGGTGAGTCGATATCGAATAAAACGACTTGAAGGAGTCGATCGCTCATTTAACACATACATATTTTTTTGTCCATTTCAGGATGGTAAATTCTTCTCGACCATAGGAATGGAAAGCTATCTGGTGACTACTGTGTGTGCTGGTATGTCGCCGTATAGTTCTCTGAGTGAGCTGGCCCTTCAGGTGCTGCTGATGGGGCCTTTCAGGATTGTCAGTGCCTTTCTCCTGTACTCCTTCCGAAATATTGTTACCAAGTGCATGAATGACAGGGAGAACCAAAAAAAGTCCGAGTAGTCTTGACAATCGTCCAGCTAGCCGTGCATTTATTTTTACTTACCAAGCTTGGTTTCATCGGAGCATGAAAACCAATTCTCAGGAATTTTTCTACTGTTTTAAATATTATTTTATTTATAAAGATAATGGCAAGTATAACTTTGACATTGTGATATTACATAATTTTTAATGATTATTGTGACCAAAAATATTTACGTGTGAATGTATGAGTAACTACTTGTTTGATTATTTTAAATAATAAGCAAAAATAAATAAACCTGTTTAAAACTACATCAATAAATATTTGTGAATAATAATACAATTTTCTTTAATTAATGATTGCACAGAAAATAAAAAAAGTCACTATTTGAGCATAAGAAGGTATCGACAGTGTTGAATGAATGTTATTATATAGAATGGCGGGAAAAGCGACGCGGGTATGAAAATTACAAAAAAACCAATCAATCAACGGTTTGGTTTACTTTTATTTAGTATCCCGTAAGTTTATAGCATAATGTTCTTCGTCTCGTTATTAAAGCCGTATGATTCTTACACACATAATAGAAACAGGCGCGCTATTTCACGCTCCTTTGCCACAATTTTTTTTTCTTTTTTTTCATGTTTTTTTCTTTTTTTTAGTTCATCACACTTTTCTTCTCTTGTACAATACGCAGTAACTCAAAAACGCATTCAAAATACACGCACAACGCAAAACTTATCCTCAGAAAACACCCGATCTCACTTCTTTTTTTTTTTATGTTTAAATAACGTCAATCTTCGCTCACTCGATCATCATTACACCCATGAAAAGCCACTGACGGAAAGTGTACTTAAGCTTTTCTCGTTTTTTTTTTTTTTTTTTTTTTTCCATTCATTCATTCGTTTTACAAAAATTTCACCATCATCGCGCAGTGAACGAAAATCCAAAGCGACAAATTCATCTCCCATCTTTTCTCCTCGCGAGTCTCGCGAAACATACGCACATGTTTCGCAAGGCCATCGAATTGTTGTTCCTTAAAAAGTGTAAAACCGGCTGGCCAAAAGTATACCCATGTGTAATATGTGTATAAGGAAAGGGGTCGGAGGGAGGAGGGGGACAAGGGTACAATGATTACCTTCTTCTCTCACTCGTGAATTTCAATAATGTACAGTCGACACGAAACCCGCAGAGTTTACCCACGTCCACGCACTCTTGGAGTATTTATCATGTGTATATGCTAATAACGAAGTGAGTAATTTTTTTTCTACCCCTTCTCGGCCACACATCGCCCGCTCTATTACACCGCACTCATTCGTCATCCGCGTATACGCAACGCACGCGCGCTCGATCAGTCGACACAATAATATATCAAACACTCGCTCCGTATCGATGCTCTCGTCGCCAAGTTCGCTGATTTTATGTCCGGCATCATCTCGTAGATTCGAAATAGCGGGAATCTACGGGACGAGGTTTCGTGGTACTATGATTTTTTTTTTTTTTTTTTTCGCACACGCGTGTACTCTTATTATCAGCGTTTGCTCGTTCGTTCGACAAGGATTCCACGTAGTTTTTCCACCCCTCGCTGCTCGGCATTTCGAGCAAAAAACACACCTCGCGCTCTCAAAAAAAAAAAAAAAAAAAAAAAAAACAACTTGGTGATTTTACACTCGTGGCTCTGTTTCCGATCGGTCCGTCGAACGCTCGAGCTCGCGGTTCGCGTGATTTTGTTATCCTTCATCTCGAAAATCATAATTTTCTTTTTTCTTTTTTTTTTTGCGTTTACGCACTCGTCGTTCGCTCGCGTCGAGTCAACACGTCACTGTTTGTACAGCAAATCAAGTGTTCGCCCCGTTACATAGTTTCATTGTGATGGTTTAACCAAACCTCCACGCCGAGCAAAAAGTAATGAGAAAACATTTGCAGGCCCTGGGCGTGCATGCGTGAAAAATAACAGCTACCGGAACGCTGATGAAGAAAGAAATGAGAAAGGGGCGATGGGTGCACGCTCTTCATCCCACGCCACGTCGAACTGCACCGAACCAACTTTCAATTTCTTTTTTTTTTTTTTTTTTTTTTTTCTACGTATACCCACTCTTTATCTTTACCGTTGCACCCCCCATTTTTTTCCCTCCCTGCAGACTCGAGACTTGCATTAAACACGACGACGTCTCGCCTCCGTCTGTCGCGAGATAGGCAGTGATTATACGCCACGGCTCTCTTGGCTTCGGTCTTTCTTCATCGCAAACGGAACGGCGCGCCGGGACGGACGGAGTTGAAAGCTGAAAAAATCTTTCTCGCGGAGGAAATAAACGACACGCGTCTTCCCGAGAACCTCGCGAGCGCACCTGTTTTACGTGGATGTGTCTCTTTGATTTTTGACCGAGAGCCCCGAATCGCTTGCTTCGAGTTCGCAGGGATCCACTTGGAGTAAAATCATCAACGTAACACTTTGGTTCTCGGGAAAAGGCTGACTCTCGCATTACACCTCCCACACGTATTACTTACGCGCCAGCAGGTGTAGTGAGTACGTGGTAAAATTTCTACGAGCATGCAAATGTGCGCTGAAAAGAGAAAGGGAAGAAGATGCAATTTTCGTTAGCTCTTCTTTGTCTCGCTTTTCATGCGCGTTATTTGTTACTCGCTGGTACAAACAATTTTTCGTAGGATGAGTGTATGAACGATTTGACGTTTCATCGAAGGGACGACGAGGACTAAATCGCGCTTAGAGTATACGGAATAAGAGGTGCGGTATTTTTCTCTTTTTTTCTCCATCTGCTGTATAGTTCCAAGTCGTTCCTTCGAGTTTTCATTTCTCAACGCGAGCTCGCAATTTTGGCGCTTTTTACGCACGTTTATGAACAATACTTGCCTTCTCTTCCCCACATATTTAAACGATGTCATTGAACCAACGCAGCTTACCGCGTCGAGTCAACAAAATCACCGTTTGTCATAACTATACATAGATTCACGTACGTCTGGCGTAAACAATACTTTTTTTTTTTTTTCGCGTTTATTCGAGTATTTGGACTTGGAATGAACGCTAAAATCATACATCTTATACGTATTATATACCCATAAACTCCTATGAACTATATCATCATCGACGCGCGTGTGATCCACCAGTGCTAACTTTGTTACTCATTTCGTGGATGCAAAGTAGTTTTATAATAATTGAAAGACGTCTCGAGTTAGGATTATATTTTTTTTTTGTGCAGTGACATTTGGCATCTGGTTTTTAATAAATTTCATCTCAATCAGCGTGCAATTTTTTGTTTGTTAGTCTTTTTTATACTCTGACAGAATCTACAATTTAAATGTTTAAAAAGTTGACACAAATACGTCTCAACGAATTTTATAAAAATTGCATAAAAACGTCGACCTAACTAAATTTATCATCTACTGTGTTGGTGAGTCATTTTTTGGCCACTTTTGAGTAAGCATAATGATAATAGACTCGGTAAAAAATTTTTCGTCACGCTGATTACAAAAGGTGCTCGACTGTAAACGCTACTTATGAAATTCAATAATCAAATTTCGAGTTAGCACAGGCGGTCAGACTGACGTTTTTAGTTAATCAACACATCATCGTTCTCGATTGATCAAAAAGTTACACCATAATATTTTTAGTTTGCTTGATTTTTTTACTTTTTTTTTTAATTTCCATTGAATAATGCAACACGTACGGCTTATTGTTATTGTATGTATAATTAACGCATGTATACTTAGACTATGTATTTACAATCACATGACTCGTAGTTTACTCGTCCCTGTGCTACCGCGAATCTCCATCGATTCATTTAATCGCCTGTTTCTCTCCTCCACCTTATCATTCGTATTCATTTCACACTTTTAAACAGGGCCTTTCTGAGTCTTCATCTAACAAACTACTTCCAAGCTTTTTTTTAGCTTCCTTTCGACTTATTGTTTAGCTCCACGGCCGTCATCAAGCAGAGCTGAAACCCGTTCAATAGATTTTTATTTTTCATCTTTTTTCAAGCAGCACTTTACTTCATGTACAATTCATGCAAAGTACACTCAGCTTTCGTATGTAGACATATAGTATGTAACGATGTAACAATTTGCACAACAAAAGTATATTTTTAAGCCAGCCTCGTCATTTTTGTAAATTATATTCATTTTCGTTTACCCAAGTGTAGCGTGTTGATTAGTAAATTTAACTGACTTGTTTCAATGCTACACGAACAAAACGTCATTTTATTTTGCACGAATCAGTCACTAAAACTGAATGAACTTTCTGAATTGACTGTGCAATAATTTCTTGGTCTAAGTGTAATTGTAAACTGCATCATGTTTGTCAAACCATCGAACGAGTTTCAATTCTCAGGCCAAGGAGCATCGGACGAATTATCACTTCTATTCCCGGTTTCACTTTCGCTTTCCCCTTCATCCCTTACAATCGCAATTATATATTTTTAGTCAATAATATCCACGTAAAATATCTTGCACGACTCAGGTGCACTCAATAAGAATAAATACGTAATTTTTTTCTTTTCCTCATGTCGTTAGAGATCCATCGACCACGATACGACGATTACGACAATCGTATCGCTATCGATGTCCAATTCTGCGAGTCGGAAGTCATTGAGGTGAGCTCGATTTGGATCCTTTTTCTTTTTTCGATAGTAAAATTGATTTCTCCTGAGGATAAATTTCACCGCAAACTTTCATATCCCCAAAACAAGGAATTTTTCAATTATCCCGCGTCACTCGTTAAAACGCTCTGCCCCAAAAATCCACCGAACCAAATCGAATAAAAAAGTCAGGCAGACAAATAACCCTTCACTCGAATCGCGCATCAGCAAAAAAAAAAAAAAAAAACATACCACGCACCTCGTACATACACCCATGCACCCCATTACACACATGCACACCGCGTTACGAGCCCACAAAAAAAAAAAAAAAAAAAAAAAACAGAAGAAGGAATCATTCCCTGTCGACCGGAAATTTCCGCATCACGTAGCCGATCGATCGCCTGCCCCCAGCGCTGGATTTCGGATAACACAGTGCTGGTGACACGAGAGAAGAGACATCCCTTTTTTTCTTTCCTCTTCTTCTCTAATTACAAAATCGATTGGCCCCGAGCTCTCCCTTTTTTACCACCGAAAACAACAACTGTCTCGTCGATCGGCAGGAAACGGTGTTATCTCGATCTCACCTCACGAGGACTCGCTTTTTGCGTTTTTTTTTTTCATCTTTTTAACTACTATAATTTTCACGACACCTTGATGGTGTAGTGTAATAAGGTAACGCAGGTATACGAGAAATTAAGGGCCTCGATGGCGCAGCAAAAGCTCGACACTTGGGATTGTTTTTTAAGTTGTGCACTTTTGGAAGAAAATGGAATTTTCTATAAATACAATCTATAAATTCTCTCGAAATATAAAAAGCATCGTCAATTGGTGGAGGCAGAAATAATTGAATAAAAATAAAAGCAAAGTTTCCAAGACACGAGAGTCACGCTGTTTGCCCGAAAAATAGTACTAAAAGCACGTAAACCCATTGCGCTCGTTAACGTTCCGCGAAATCAGCGTGAAAACCAGACAGCAAGGAATAGAAGGAGAAAAGCTCTTGGAACTCGATCATCCGTAAATCAACGCTCGTTACCTGGGAGAAATTAAAACAATTTGCCCAAGTATTGAGTCCTCGACCGCTCGCGAAAACGTGCACGCCCGGGCGAGAGCTCAAGTGAAACAAGTCAGCGTTCGGTCAGACGTGCGTCGGCTGGAATGAGGTAAAAAAAGGAGCTCTCCAGACGACCTGATTTTCGCTAGATTTTCACGACCACGCGTCATTGGTTGAATCAGCGAGGGGATTGCCGTCCGCAAACGAGCGCTCAAGCTGGTTCGAGTTTGACGATATTTCTCCTCTAATTGTCGCTGGCGCAAGCAATTAGGATCGAAAATAGACCATCGAACCCATCTGAATTCACACATGCTCGAGTATTCATTGAATTGCTCAAAAATTAATGACAAAGAAAAAAGAAAAAAAAAAAAAAGAAATACTCCAACGTAAGGGAACCCGCTGCTGTGCCATCGATAATCACAAGTTTTCGACTAACAACTATATGTACGTAAGTATGTATACGCTAACGGCCGGATCAGACTGTCTCGAGATGAAGACCGCGCTCTCCTCCAACCCAAAGCCCCTCCCTCCTTCTGCATCCCAAAACGCATCACGTACCACCCCCCGGTAAATCGGAAGAGAAAGAGCGAGAGGGTGTTGGAGGTCTCTGGATGCCCCTTTCCTCAAAAGTATCGATCGGACCCGTGAATTCGCGTTTCTCGTCACGGACAAGAGACGCGGGCGTGAAATTCAATTAGAAAGGAGAGAAACTCCGGGAAAAGGCGCCGACAGGAGAGGCAGGAGAAAAATTCACAAAGACGACAGACCCCGGTGATTTTCCCTCCAACCCCTTCCCTTCGACCCTCATCACTTATTTCGAAGCTCTGCTGCACCCCCTCGCTCTTCTGGCTGGCAAAGAAAAAAAAAAAAAAAAGAACAGACAACTTCTTTCTTTCCATCGGAGCTCTTTCTTATTATTCTCTGGCTCCTCTTTTTTTTCTCAAAGAGCTAGAAAAGTCCACCACCGACCAGCCTTTGCTGCTGCGGAAATCACACAGCCCAGGATACACACTCGCGCGCACGTGCGCTTTTTTCTTACCACCCGCAGTTCTGAATTTTCGTCCTTTCTTTACTGTGCGTGGTACATCAGCCTTATTCGAGTGTCACGGAAGATTTCGATCTTCCCGAGACACTGCGTCGTTCAACGTTTGCGTGCACCGAAAAAAAAAAGACACTGTTCCTTCCCCTTCGGCCCAGCTACGTGTGTGCTGTTGGCGAAATTTGGCTACAACGACCTCGACGACGAGAAAGCACATTGCACTGCCGTCATTTGCTTGGGGACTCTTTTTCTCATGACCGTCGTTGGGATGGATTTGTCCCCGCCTTTTTCTCCCCGCTAGTTACTTAATAAGTCCTCTGCGCGCAAATTTGATTCCAGGCCGCGTTCGTGCTCTGCCAAAATCTGGACCACCCCGCTCAGAAACTCCGCTACCACGACAACTGGCCGGGAGCCAAAGTGGAACGACTGACTTATATTCGCCCCTCCCATTGCCCCGAGCCATATTTCACCAACATTATTTTTTCTCCTTCCGTGTGTTCGCTTTTTGCTTCTTCTCCTGCTCCTCGTCTCTCTTTCTTCGGCGACGATCTAAATCACTCGACACGTAGTCGAGCGCAAAGTGACTCTAAAAGAGTGAATTCGGTCCGCTTTCTGTCCTTTCTTTTTTTCGTTTTTTTTTTTTTTTTTTTTATTTCCCAAACTTTCTTCGTGCCCCAAAAGAAAATACAACCAAGATTTTTGGGCCAAATAAGCCAGAGTTGGTGGTATTTTCTTCGCGCGCGGAGCGAATCAACACCTTTTATTCTCTCAAAATTCCAGAGTCGTCTCAAGTTGCACTTGCAGACGTGTACAAATACAATCGACACGATTTTTCATTTCAACGATGTATCGCTCGAATATGTATACATATCAAAAAGAAAAATGAGTTTGCAAACGATAGTTGGAATTAGCTCGATGGTACTCGTATACATCACAAGATTAATCATTGCACGCGTCGACCAACTGCAAGCTCCAATATAGCGTACTTTTAAATCATCATGGAGTTCTCAGCGCAGTAATGACAGTCCTCCAGCGACTCCTTGGAAGTGTCATTGCGTGAAAAAAATAATTTGCAGTACGCTTTTTTTTTACTTCAATCGCATACCATGAATCGAGAATTCGTCCGAGCTTAATTCGCAACGATCGTGTGGCGAGAACCTGCGAGCACAGAGACAAGTCATTTTTCATTTTTTTTTTATCTTACAAACTTTCTTTTTCGATGCACGCCCGACTTGTAGCCAAAACGACGAGCAAACAAACGACGCGTCATTTATTTCCCTCATCAGCTGCTTCTATCCGCCAAGGATACAGTTGTGGCCTCTTTGCACCCATCCTCATTCTCCATTATGTATATTATGTATAGGTTACGTTATTTCGTAAATAAATTAATTAATTTAAAAAAATAATAATAATAATAAATAAAAGGAGGAGGAGGAGGGAGAGGATAAGGGCTAATTGTTTTCACTTCTGTCTTCGTTCCTCTTCATCGGGTCCAGGCGACGCTCGTCGGCGGCAGATACGTCTGGGTGACGGCGACGGCGAAGCCCACGAGCAGCAGACCGCAAAGCCGGCCTCGCTCGGACTCGCTTGCCGTGAGGCTTAGGGCACCAGCGAACCAGCACAGGAATCTACAGCAGCCTGGCACCGAGCTTATGCCCCGCTGTATCGCTGCCGGGTGCTCACCTGTACGGAAATGAGAAAAATAAAAAAAACGCGTCTTGGTCAATATTAATCATGTTGTTACTTTCTATTAGAGTATTTCAATTATCTATTTAGTTCAAAATCAATCAATTGAATATTTTAACAAATAAAAAATTTCACCTGCGTAATTAGTTGAGTCAAAATAGGACCAACTACTACAGTCACAATGATAAGTAGTTTCTTTTCGAGTCAGAGAAAATAAATTTTATTAGCTACCGTTTCGGGGAAGAAGTTTTTTTGCTAATTATTTTGTAGGAAATATGTTTTTCTCTCTAATCAAGTAATTATATAAAATACGTTTAATTGGAGAAATGGTTATGTCTATAAAAATAGCAGGAAAAAAAAATCTTTTTGACTAATTATCTTATCAAGATATCACGATTTTTCTTTGCCGTTGTAACTGCAAAAAGCAACGTATGGATGACGATCTGCATCGACAATATTCATGATTCAATTTTCATGTCGACACGTCCATAAAAATCCCAGCTCCTTGTTAAACGCTTATCAAAACGAAATACACTCCTTGGCTTTATCGATTTTCCCAGAACGTGCCAAAAGTGGATACTACCTTTCCTTTCAAACGCGCGCGCACACGTATTATTCAAATATTTGAAAATTTTCAACGTGCTGTATACATTACCTTGGAGCAAAGATCATCTGCCTCTCGCGCGTGTATTTTCGCCGAGCATTATACGTTCTCCCGGAAGAGATATTCTTTTTCTTTTTATTTTCGCGAAATTCCTTTATGGCCGGAGAATCGTATTTTTTATTAAATTCTTATGTACCCAATGCCCCTGGTCTTATTCATACGCGAATATATACCATTAGTCATTATGCCCAAGATTTTCATTGTGCCTCGAATATTTCAAATTTTTAATGAATACAACGAGAAATTTAATTTTCGGATCGTTGCAAGTTTTTCGATGTCTCAGAGTGCTTATCGCAAAAAATATAAAAAACATCCCATCGAGCGGAGAAATTTTGTTGTTTATGGTGAAAAAAAAAAAAAAAAAGATTACCATTGAGCACGTGAAGCTGTACGCTCGTGCTGTCGAGATTACTAGGCCGACAGGTGTAGTTGCCAGAGTCTGAGAGGACGGTGTTCTCGATCGTGAGGTTGCTCGCGGTATTGTTCGTGCCGTCGATTACCTTCGTTTGTATGGTCATGCGGTTGCGACGCTGATCAGGTAGCTGGCGCTCATGATGATACCAGAACACGGTAAAAGGTATCTCGAGCGAGTGCTTGATCACGCACTGCAGCACGACTTTACTGCCTGGATTCACGTGCAAGTCCTTGTCGCCAAGTATTTCGATTTTGGGCACTGGATCATGAAAATCTCATAATTAGTATCGTCTATTATAGGAGTAATTTCAAGGGAATAGGAAAAAAGACACTACGTTTTTGATGATGCTACGATGTAGCAAAACGTTATTGTAGAAATGGCGTCTGACCAAACACGGATGGTACTACTTATAGAGATTGTCAACACGATTAACTTTAAAAATTAAGTATGATGAGAAGTTATGATCGATGAATGAAATTCCGTTACCCGGATTCACATGCAAGCAATCGTTAAGAATTTCGATTTTTATCAGTAGATCATAAGAATCACAAATTTTGTAATTTGGTTGTTGTGGATAAGGCTTTGAAAACATCATCCTGTGTAATAGTAGTAATCAATAAAGTGAAAGGTGTAAAACGTTGGATATTATTGCAATGAAGCGAAAAATCTTTGTAGAACGTATGTCTGACCAAACACTGACTATACTACTGAACTTAAAATGTATGTCCCGTAAATTAATTATAAATTGTAACCATTTGTTATTACATATTTTATGAAAATTTCGCGAGGTTAAAAGCCTCACCATACAATATTGCAAGAAAAATTTCACGCGATAGAAAATTTTAAGTAGTGTGAAAATATATTCTAACAGTGATTTTGTATACATCTCTATTTAAGGAAATCAAATACACAAAATTTTTTGCGCTCACGCATTCTACAACTCAATACATTGAATCAATGTGAGTATATTTATCAGTACAAATCGTCGTATGCAAAAAGATTTTATCACTAAAATTTTAAATCATCTCAATAAGTTGGAGTTTACAACATCTGTAAAAAAATTACGATCGAAAACCAAAAATTCATACACCTCTTAATCATGATGATTCTCGTGTATAACCCATAAAATGTGAACTGAAATAAAATCAAGCTACCAAAAAAAATGTGCATGATCGGTAGATAAAAAAATAAAAAGAACAAATTTCAAAAAATAAAATAAAAGTCGTACGCACCAACAACGGTCAGATTAACTGTGTGGCTGAGTTTGGGCTCCGTCGATATCTGGCACTCGTACTCTCCCTCGTCGCGCTCCTGGGCGTACTTGACCACGAGCGCCCACGTACTCGTCGAGTCGATGAAGCGCGACTCGAACCTGTCGTCCGCTATGAACACCGTTCTGTCCACTGCCAGTATGTGTGCGTCTCTCGTCCTCACCCATGACACCTGTACAACAAGGGGACACAAAATTAGTGATGCCTTGGAAAAAAAAAAAAAAAAACAACCTCATGATTTGTGACAAAGCCCATTTTTCTCTATTTTTCGTACCATCTGTCGCCGAGTACTTTCCATACAACAGAAGCCACTGGCGATATGTATTTTCATTACAGCTTTCGGCCATCTAACTCATTTTGAAAATCGTTGAGAACGACAATTTCACGCTCCCAGCGATGGGACATAGACTTTCGAGCTTAAAGTTTTTTATGACTACTCCACAGGAGTGTCTCATATTTTACCAGAAAAAACACAATTTCAAATAAAATCACCAAGTACTTAGTTTTTAAAACAAAGTATAATCCCTGTTCATTCTTTGAAGTATCATATACTAAGTGTAAAAATGCATTTTGATGATTTTCGAATCATACAAGTGGTAGCTTTATTTGTATACATAAGCCATTTCAAGTATTTTAGTTTTATGTATCGAAAAAATACGCACGAAAACAAATGCAACGACATAGTTTTTCTTTCCATGGTATTTCAAGTGCTAACAATTTTCTACCTGTTGAACCAAACGAAAAACACAAAGAAGGGCCAAGAAAGGGTTCCGGAAAGATGCCGACGTTTGAACCAAAGTGAGAGTAACAATGGGAGTCACGTCGGCTCGAAGTGGACGGGTTTTATCGTTCAGATGCAAAATAAAAGAGTGCTTTCTAACAAACAAAAAAAAAAAAAAACCGAAGAAGAGAAGGCAAAAAACATTTTTTGGTTCAAACAATGAAAGAGCGAACAAGCGCAGGCAAATCAAGCCCACCGTGGCGTGCGCTACCTGACTTTTAACAAAGTATTTCAATAGCGATGATCGATCGAAAGAGCTTCGCGCGGTAAACAAGCTTCGACGATGCAAATTTGAAAATATTTTTCCATCCGAGCTTTTCGCAATCAAAGGATCCACTCGCGCTTGTCAAACTTTCCTTCGTTGCATCCTTCCGATTTTCGTCGACGAAAAGGGAATCTCATTTAAAGTTCCATCTTTCGCTGTAAAGCTCGAAACAACGCCGGCGCGGAGTCACGAACGAAACTATTACCAAAATCAATACTCGATACGGCAAAGATGCCGTGTATCCCTGATACGCGGGCTCGAAATGAGAAATAACGCACTTTCGGGCAACGTAGAGAGTGGAAAAAGCCTTTGTGCACACCATGGATCCCAAAGTTTGACGGGCCATGGATAGTTTGCAAGTTTAATTTGCATCAATCGCTTGTAAAGCGAAGGAAAGTTTCCGAGTTTGCCAATTTTATTCGGAAAATCACGATTTTACCTTTTTAAGTTACGAAGCTCTAAATTTATTGACTCCAAATTGTTTTTTTTTTTTTGTTCTCCTCCAAACTCGTGATTCCTCGCGTGTGTACCATCGACCGTTGGAAATTAATTGGACGTGCGGTAACTCTCGGAAATACCGGCCATTAGTTTGATTCCGTAATCCCGCGTCCGCAGCATTATCCACGGTCCATTCGTCACGACAGTTTTCGAAACTCTTGAAACACTTTTCATAATTACGACGCGTCGTCGCGTCCATTACGCGCCATAATTAACGTTCATATTCCGTGCCCATTCGTAAAATTAAATTCCTCATTTGGGTCGTTACGCCCATCAGGAGCGCACCCTCGATTATTTTTTTCCTCGTCGTTATTATTTTCCCCAAAAACCACTGTCCAACCGCAAAAAAACTCGTGTCGCCCATTGCAATAAATATAACTCAAAGGGGCAGGGGCGCGCACAAAGTTGACAAAACTGTGCTCTAATCAGTCTAAAAGCAATGGAAAAGAAGAAAAAAAAAAAAAGAAGCTAGCACGACAGTGTCACACTCAGTAAGTTTCCAGGCAGTGGACGGGTGGAGCAGGTCCTCCTCTCAGCTCCAGAGCCGTGCTAATAAACTCGAGGAGGAAGTGCCGAGGCGCGCCGGAGTCGTTTACGCAAATGAACTGGGAAAAATTCGCTCTCGTTCTGTCTTTAACTTTGCGCTGCATTATGGCGCGCCTCGTAAACTCTGACAACGAATTCGAAGCCCGCGCCAGAAGCGATTCCGTGGAGTTTTATGACGGGCTTTCATAAAAAATAATTTCTGCAAAGTAAAGCAGGCGAGGGAAGTTGTTGGTGCTCGGAAAGGAGTTATTTGATGGCTCGTACTATACTTTTGGATTGGAAGTAGTGGGAACGATTCACGGGAATTTTTTAATGGGAATCAGGACCTCCTGTGAGATTAAGGAAAATATGTGTTTGGTCTTATTTTGGAAAGACGATATGGAAACAATGTTCTATAAAATCATCGAAGAAAAAAATAATACACGATTACTCGTTGACAAGATTTTTGTTGAAAGATAATAAAAATTCGTGGGATGTTTTTACGTGACTCGAGAAAATAGAAAACCAAAATTGTCCTACCTAAAAGATGTTGAGAAAAAAAAAAAAATTGTTTGTAAGAGGAAGACAAAAGCGCCTGACAAACAATAACTCTCGGCGTTGTTGTTTCGCGAAGATTGCGCGCCCCTCTACTCGGGATATTATTTTTCGTCATCAAACACGTAAGCTTTTTTTTGCCTCCCTCTTCTGTCTTTTGAAAAGCGCAAAGACATTTCGGGAAGCAAAAACAATACCAAACATGTACGTGACGTGGGATCTCTCGTTTACGGAAGCGTAATCAGATCGAGGTTTTTTCCCTCACGGTGGACGAGATTTGGGGATTTTCCCTTTTTTCAAGCCCATGACGTTGTTTGTCAAAAATTTCATGCGTTTTTTTTTATCTGATCAAATTTTTCCAAAGCTATCGGTGGCTTATGCTCGAAATATTTCATTTCACGCGTCAATATTTTTCTTGGAAATTGGCGACGCGCGGTAAATCGTTAGGAACTTAACAGACACAATCGGCTGAAAGCCATGGAATTCTTTATGAGTTTTCACAAGGACGACTACGACGTTTGTCGAACCGAATTTGAATAATTTTTACATCTGTACGCGAGAAAATAGATGAAAAGTGTCGAGCTACTGAAAAAGGTGATATTGAGCATGTGTTTGCATGATTATAGTAGTAAAATTCAGTATGAGAAAACGTTTTATCGACATTTTTTTTCACACTTATCGGTCCCCGAATCGTAAGAATCTTGTGATGGTAACTATAACACTTGAGGTTGAGTAAAAAAAATTAGGTCAAATCTACTCGAACGAGAGTGTAGCAAAGAGATTAACTTACCGATTTGTTACCGATCTGTCGGACCTTGCAGGGCAAATAGGCGAAAGTGCCGAGCTGGACGGTCACGTTGGTCACGTTTTGGGCGTCGATGTAGGGACCCGTATAGAGGCCGCCGTATCGTTTTACCAGCAAGTGAGATTTCGTGCTTACCCCTGCAACATGGATTAAAAACAAATTTGAACCAACATGAATGATTAACTTTCTATTTTAGTCAAAAATCACTCATTTTAATAAAAGAACACTAAACTTGAAAACAAAAATAATTTTTTTTTTTCCATTTTCACGTAAAGCGATGCAGTTTTTCATGTAGGATAATTCGTGACATCAAAAGACAAAAGTACAGAGAGCAACAGGAATAGAGAAATGCGTGATTTCGAGCTTCTCTGGCAAAACCCGATAGAGCATCCTGCGCGCGTACGAGTAGTCCAACAGGAGCTTTTCCAACGGACAAAGGACACAGGCACGTCGGAAGCCATACCTACACCCTCTTGTCCTCTTCCCTTCTGACATTCCGTCATAGCGTCGTCGTAGTCGTTGGAATTCCAATGCAAAGCAACGCATACGACCCACGGTATGCACCTAACACGACCACACATACGACATGAAGTGTTTCTAATGCATCCAAGATTGAGAGTCCTTGCACCACGTGTACGCACACATGCTACTGTCCATTCGATAGTCTACACGTAAAATGATTTTCTTGCTCCATTTTCCTGTTTCGATGGGCGAGCTTGAAACAATCGATCGACCTTTCTAGTTCCCAATACATCGCATTGTCCCCAGCAAATCACATAAATCAACAGCTGTTCCTTTGTTCCACTGTGAGAGGGTCGTATACGGAGGTTATTTGCAAAAAGCCCACTCAAAGAGTGCCCGAGCAATGACAACCAACACCAAATAGGGGAGCTTATAATAAGCATCGCGAGCTCGTTGCGAGTTTATGTACACATACGCACACTCAGCCAATCCATGCACGAGTGATCGCGTGCAGTCTGAAGTGCCCACGAGAATGTACTCGTATACCATGCAGGGAACTCTTTGCGTGCACGCTCTGAATCGCGTCGAGCGGTCGTCTCTCGTGGGCACAATTTGTCCACTGTTGAGTTTTCAAAACACGCTGTTTACGCGGATGGTAAACACACACTCGGCCTCTCTTTTGTAAAGTGGACTGTGAATTTAGCTGCACGGCTGAAAAGGCACACGAACGCGCGATTTTCAAATATATACAATTAGCTGACATTACGAGGAATTTCAATTAGCTCTGGTTATCGTAGTTCTTATGAACCAAAGGTGTTGGTGCTCCCTCCTCGTATCTACGAGTATAAGTTGTATTTATAAAATTGATGAACAGAGGTAGAGAGAGCCACGTAGTCGAGCATCTAATTAGCTCTTGTTAGCGAGGGATTGGCAAACACGTGTCTGGCGTAGACTTAAATACCACGTGTGTGTACACGAGGTTAATGAAATAGAGCAATCAGCTCGCGTCTGACTAATCACTGAGCCGTACTACTTGAGGAGAAATACAATTACTCTACTGAAAATTGTTGTTTGTTGGTTTGTTTCCCCTACTTTGCGCTACAAATAATGACACTGTGGGCTGCATTGAAAACAGAGAAACGGGAAAAAGTAGACGACGTGTTAGCAAGCAAAGCAAAAAGTTTTCCCCTGCGAGTGCGGTTATTAAAAGGCGCGGAAATAACAAGTTGGCCCCGCGGAGTAATGACATTTAGATGTTCCATTTCTGATAGAGCAAGTTAACGAGTCCAGCGGAATCCCGAACTACGCGTGGATTCCATTTCCAAGTCCCACAAAGGAAGAGGGGGATCCAATAAAACAGCTCGGACTCGCGAGCAGTGCGTGAACTCGTCGAGGGGCAAAGAGTCGGCTAATTAAAAAGAGAAACTTATAATGCCCTCAAAGCCACAATAGAAAAGTTGGACGAAACGCCGAGAAAAAGGAGGAGGGGGGGGGGGGAACAAAATGGTCGTTGAAAGAAAAAGGAAGGCCGAGTTGGTTGCGAGGGGAGAGATAATCTGGCGGAGAAAAAGTTTTCATTGCAGTTTCACAAGATATTATGTTGTACGCGAACGGAGAACGATGAGCCACCGAGATTTTTCAACTCGACGCCGACTTGTACATTAACGCTGGAATAAACCCCCCCCCCCTTCCATATTTCTGCATTTGATTATTCAGAAAAAAAACCTCGTCTGTTTTAAGCACGGAGTGTTGGTAGAGTCCACGATAGGGGAAAAAAAAATTAATGACCTCGCACCCTGTGCTCTCGGGCCCATGACTGCGAAAAAAAAAAAAAAAGAAAAGAAAGAAAAACAGAACAACTTGGAGAGAGCCTCGTAAAAAGAGTTGCAAGTACCACTAGAGTCTCTAACTGGTAAACAGAGGTAGCTAAAAACACGGTAAAACCAAATGAAAGAGAAACTCGACAGACAGTCGTTGTTGTTGGAAGAGGTGGGGGGGGGGGCGTTAATTGACATTAGCCCGTTCCAAGAACGTAAAATCGCTCTCGTAGCGACGACGAGTTTCCGTACACAAATCCATAGCACCGAGGGAAGGGGATATAATTGCGAGTCTCGGGGGGTAATTGAAGCGCTCAGCCATTCGAGCCCTCTCGCGCGGGTACGCGTTTTCGTGTTTTTAATATCAAAAGGATAAATCAAGCGATCCGCGTATTTCTCGCGATCTGCCGGGAACACTTGATTTGTACGTACGATGTACATTCGAGGGTTGACCGACCGATATATGCGCATCTCTCTTTCGCTAATTGAGTGAGAGCTCAATCACGCCTAGCGGTGCCGATTTGTGCACGATTGATCGCCCATTCCTTTGAGTGCGAGGAGATTTCCTGGAAGCGTACGTTATATTTATCTGTCCACGTTTGATGTGTCGGCGACCGATGGCAAACGACTGTCTTTATTGCATTGTTCTCCCTCTTTTGATGATCAATATTTTGTTTCTCACATCCGATTGTTATTACCATCAGTGCCAATACCATTGGGGTGGGATGCGGCGTCGAGTGGCCTTCGGAAGCCTCTCTTTGACCTCAGAGCTGGTCCTAATTAGGCCCTTGAAATCATCGCTCCGATAGCTCGTCGATTGCTCTCAATAGCCATTCTCGAAGAGAATCCGTACACCCGTAGTAGCTCGATCGCGAGGATCACTACGAGCTCTCTAAATTAATGAGTAGCGAGTAAAAAGGGTATCTCTTGCTTTTGCAATTGAGGACATGCACTCGAGCAGACTTTCCTCTCGATTGCTCGACCCCGAGATGATTCGACGACCCCCCAGGGTACGACGTCTTCCGAGATCTAAAGATAGAAAGAACAGCACTCACCCTGTTTTTTACTCCCTCGTTTCGCTACAACGACTACAAGACCAACAACAAAAAAGATAGATAATCCATGCGTCGAGCGACGAGGTTGCAGGTGAGAGCTCGGGAGAAGCGCAAATCCCGAGCTTCCGACCGCCCCTCAAAATTCAAGTGTAAGCTTTACGCCTGTCGTCATGGCTCAGCCTACATGGCCGGCAGCTGAATTTCACGAAACGGCGCCTCGGTGTGTTATTTATTTGCTTGAGTTTACTCTTTCGAGGAGGGTGTAGGTGAACGGTTGATATTTCAATGCGCGATGACTCTTTTGAACCGATTTAAATGAACGGTGGTGTTGGATGGAAAAGTGAGCGGAAAATAATGCAGAGTTTGTTTTCATCCGGTAAATCCATTCGTCGCTTCGTATCACTCTCGGGGTTTACGGGCAATTTTCCATCTCTTCGACTCCTCGAGTGTGTGTGCACACGTGCGCGCGAGTATTTATTTGCACTTACGAGGAAATCGAAGAATACATGAGAAACCGGTTCTTGCGTGGATATGAAGCGAATCCAGGTTTCTTTTATTTTTTCAATCCCAACCATCTTGATGGGGGGTTTATTTACATGCAGATGCGTGACGTTCGGTTGGAGGATTGTTTTATCCTCCCTTTCGCGAAGAAAGGAAGTTACCGCGAAAAAGTTTCAGCTAGACGAGAGAGAGAGAGGAGTGGTACGTGTTGCGAAGGTTCGTTTTACGGGGGCATCAAAAATTTGCCGGTTAAAAAGTTCAGAACGACTTTTATTATGAGAAATCTTATAATACTCACTTGGCAGGTGAATCGGAAGTTTTGCGTTTAAAAGTGCCCGAGTGGAAAAGTTCGCATCATTCGGGCGTTAAAATTTTCGAGTGAAACTCTTGGCCTTGTAAAAAAAATACCGCGGTCCCTGAAAATTCACGAAAAAAAAAATATATATATATATATATTTCCCACGGATATCGAACCAATTAACTTTCTCCCTTTCGAAATTCACTTCGATACCGAGCGACCCATAAAACTCCCCCGCACCTTGACTCCTTCGACCGACTGAACTTGCCGGCGTTTGAGTTGCAAAGTAAGTACACACGCCCCCTAATGAGGCACCGGAAACCCCCGGCGCACACTCGGCTCCGAGTAATGGAAAAACTTTTCGACCTCCGGTGAATTTTGAAAGACCCGATTAATTTATGACCCTCCACGTTCACGCATCGAGGGTCGGGAAATTTTTTAACCCAACCCCAGCTTATTAAATGTTTTTGGGGCGCCGCTTGGCCTTTCGATGAATTCGATTAGTTTTTCCGGGCTCCCGACTCGTGTACACCAAACTTTCCGGACAGCTGCCAATTAGCCGCCCGAGCGCGCTATTCGAGGACGTGGCTCCCACTTGGCGTTACCAAGAACTTACTTTCTTCTGAAAAAAATTTTAGTGGCTCTCTTCGACACCTCGAGAAAATAAGAGTCCGTCGTGGTGCGTCAGTAGGGAATTGCAATGTACGACCGAAAGAAGCTCTCGCGTCTTTGATCAGATGCGGGTAGCTGGTACGCGATCGCGTGAATGAAAATTCGATCATAGAGCAAAAGTGGTGCTCGTTACCCCAACAGAGAGACAAGCGGGTCAAAGAGTAAGATGGAGGCGATACCAGTGTCGTCGCTCATTTTTAGCGCACGTGCGGGAACCTTATCGGTTAGATGGTCTGGCTCTGATGCCATCGTTTTGTTGACAAGCGAGGGGAGACCTGCCGGCTGTTGGTTTTAGAGGGATATTCCTACACGCCGTGGGTTGTGTTGACTCT